GTGTTCTTCGAGTTCCCACAATTCCATTCCCGGGTCACATTTTGAATGCTGAGGCAGGCTGATGCTGTGAGGCTGAGGCTGAGGTTCAGGCTGAGGCAGGCTGAGGCTGAGGCCGAGGCTGAAGGCAGACTGAGGCTGAGGCTGATGCAGGCTGAGGCTGAGGCTGAGGCAATGCCTGAGGCTGAGGGCTGGGGTTGCTGAGGCTGAGGCAGGTGAGCTGTTATGCTGATGCTGATGCAGGCTGAGGCTGACGGCAGGCTGATGCTGACGCAGGCTGAGGCTGAGGCCTTGGCTTGAGGCAGGTTGTAGGCTGAGGCTGAGGCAGGCTGAGGCCGAGGCAGGCTGAGGCCGAGGCATGCTGAGGCTGAGGTTGAGGCACGCCGAGGCAGGCTGAGGCTGAGGCTGAGGCAGGCTGAGGCTGAGGCAGGCTGAGGCTGAGGCTGACGCAGGCTGAGGCCGAGGCAGGTTGAGGCTGAGGCTGAGGCAGGCTGAGGCTGAGGCAGTCTGAGGCTGAGGCTGAGGCAGGCTGATGCTGAGGCAGGCTGAGGCCGAGGCTGAGGCTGAGGCTGAGGCTGAGGCAGGCTGAGGCTGAGGCTGAGGCTGATGCTGAGGAGGCTGAGGCTGAGGCTGAGGCTGAGGCTGAGGCAGGCTGATGCTGAGGCTGAGGCTGAGGCAGGATGAGGCTCGAGGCTGAAGGCAGCTGAGGCTGAGGCTGAAGCAGGCTGAGGCTGAGGCTGAGGCAGGCTGAGGCTGAGGCTGAGGCAGGCTGATGCTCAGGCTGATGCTGAGGCCGAGGCTGAGGCTGAGGCTGAGGCTCTTGCAGGCTGAGGCTGAGGCAGGCGGAGGCTGAGGCTGAGGCTGAGGCAGACTGATGCTGAAGCTGAAGCAGGCTGAGGCTGAGGCTGAGGCAGGCTGAGGCTGAGGCTGAGGCTGAGGCAGGCTGGCTGAGGCAGGCTGAGGCTGAGGCTGAGGCTGAGGCTGAGGCTGAAGGACTGAGGCTGAGGCTGCAGGCCTGAGGCTGAAGGCAGGCTGAGGCTGAGGCTGAGGCTGAAGCAGGCTGAGGCTGAGGCTGAGGCTGAGGCTGAGGCAGGCTGAGGCTGAGGCAGGCTGAGGCTGAGGCAGGCTGAGGCTGAGGCTGAGGCTGAGGCTGAGGATGAGGCAGGCTGAGGCTGAGGCAGGCTGAGGCTGAGGCCGAGGCTGAAGGCAGACTGAGGCTGAGGCTGAGGCTGAGGCAGACTGATGCTGAAGCTGAAGCAGGCTGAGGCTGAGGCTGAGGCAGGCTGAGGCTGAGGCTGAGGCTGAGGCTGATACTGAGGCAGGCTGAGGCTGAGGCTGAGGCTGAGGCTAATGCAGGCCACTGCGACTGTCATCGCGAATGCGACTACGACTGCGAGAACAGCAGAATTCTAGAACTGGATTCTCATCTGAATCTTAAGGGGAGTGCTTCCAGATATGCTTCTACACATCGCTGTTAGGTTGCTTTGCCGGGAAAATTTTACCTAACAGCGAAGACTGATAGGTTTCTAGTGCTCTCAAAAGAGAGCATCATGACTCCCCAGGGGGTTCCGGGCAGGATCCGGGGAGAATCCGCGGAAGTCGTTTTGTCACATGAGTGAAGTTGCCAACCACCTGGCCAGACATTTCAGCCATGTCTATGAGGCACTTATGGATGACGGAGTGCAAAAGCCTTGAAGAGCATCTCATAGCGCCAACTATGGGCAAGAGAGAAGATAAACGCTTGAGTATCGATTTGAGTAGTTAAGACAAGATATCTGGACTAATGGAACGGAAAACGTATATATTTTTCATCCATGCACATTGTGTGATCAGATCCGATGGATCGGTACAACCATTATGGCTGTTGGTTGCCTGACGAAGAATCTGCCCACATATTTCTTTTTACCTAACAGCGAAGACTGATAGGTTTCTAGTGGGGTCATCAGAGAGCATCTTGAGGCCCCAGGGGGGTCCGGGCAGGATCCGGGGAGAAGCCGCGGAAGTCGATTTAAGCAAACAGTTACACACTTCGTGGTCTTCGAGGTCCCAGAACTCCATTCCTGGGCATGATTTTGAATGCCCGGAGCCAACTGTAGGCCACTTCGTGGTCTTCGAGTTCCCAGAACTCCATTCCTGGGCATGATTTGAATGCCCGGAGCCAACTGTAGGCCACTTCGTGGTCTTCGAGTTCCCAAACTCCGTTCCTGGGAATGATTTTGAATGCCCGGAGCCAACTGTAGGCCACTTCGTGTTCTTCGAGAACTCCATTCCCCGGGCCACTGATTGAGGCTGAGGCAGGCTGAGGCTGAGGCAGGCTGAGGCTGAGGCCGAGGCTGAAGGCAGGCTGCAGGCTGAGGCAGGCTGAGGCTGAGGCAGGCTGAGGCTGAGGCCGCAGGCTGAAGGCAGACTGAGGCTGAGGCTGAAGGCCTGAGGCTGAGGCTGAGGCAGGCTGCAGGCTGGCTGAGGCTGAGGCTGAGGCTGAGGCTGAGGCTGAGGCTGAGGCTGAGGCTGAGGCTGAGGCTGAGGCTGAGGCTGAGGCTGAGGCCGAGGCTGAAGGGCTGAGGCTGAGGCTGCAGGCTGAGGCTGAGGCTGAAGGCTGAAGGCTGAGGCTGAGGCTGAGGCAGGCTGAGGCTGAGGCTGCAGGCTGAGGCTGAGGCTGAGGCAGGCTGAGGCTGAGGCTGAGGCTGAGGCTGAGGCAGGCTGAGGCTGAGGCAGGCTGAGGCTGAGGCCGAGGCTGAAGGCAGACTGAGGCTGAGGCTGAGCAGGCTGAGGCTGAGGCTGAGGCAGGCTGAGGCTGAGGCTGCAGGCTGAGGCTGGCTGATGCTGATGCAGGCTGAGGCTGAGGCAGGCTGAGGCTGAGGCCGAGGCTGAAGGCAGACTGAGGCTGAGGCTGAAGCAGGCTGAGGCTGAGGCTGAGGCTAGGCAGGCTGAGGCTGAGGCTGAGGCAGGCTGATGCTGAGGCAGGCTGAGGCTGAGGCTGAGGCTGATGCAGGCTGAGGCTGAGGCAGGCTGAGGCTGAGGCCGAGGCTGAAGGCAGACTGAGGCTGAGGCTGAAGCAAGGCTGAGGCTGAGGCTGAGGCAGGCTGAGGCTGAGGCTGAGGCAGGCTGATGCTGAGGCAGGCTGAGGCTGAGGCTGAGGCTGAGGCAGGCTGAGGCTGAGGCAGGCTGAGGCTGAGGCCGAGGCTGAAGGCAGGCTGAGGCTGAGGCTGAGGCTGAAGGCTGAGGCTGAGGCTGAGGCAGGCTGAGGCAGGCTGAGGCTGAGGCTGAGGCTGCAGGCTGAGGCTGAGGCAGGCTGAGGCTGAGGCTGAGGCTGAGGCAGGCTGAGGCTGAGGCAGGCTGAGGCTGAGGCTGAGGCAGGCTGATGCTGAGGCAGGCTGAGGCTGAGGCTGAGGCTGAGGCTGATGCAGGCTGAGGCTGAGGCAGGCTGAGGCTGAGGCCGAGGCTGAGGCAGACTGATGCTGAGGCTGAAGCAGGCTGAGGCTGAGGCTGAGGCAGGCTGAGGCTGAGGCAGGCTGAGGCTGAGGCTGAGGCAGGCTGAGGCTGAGGCTGTGACTGCGACTGCCGTTGCCACTGCGACTGTCATCGCGAATGCGACTGCGACTGCGAGAACAGCAGAATTCTACAACTGGATTCTCATCTGAATCGTAAGGGGAATGCTTCCAGATATGCTCCTACACATCGCTGTTACGTACAAATTGTTATGACGTAGCTCCAGGCCCTGAATATATTTTGAAGAAGGTCAAGAATCAACTGTCGTGGGCCGCGATGAATGCTATCCCATCGGGGAAGTGAGCGACTGAGTCCTGACTGCCTTTGACTTGAGCGATCCCAGCATGGGAATGCTCCTTTCACTGCCCCTAGAAGCTTACTGAGACCAGCGGTACTGCGCGGTCTGCCCGTTAGCTCGTGATAAAGTTTCACGGGTGTGAGATAGTGCGTGTGTCACGTGTGGAGATGCGCCACTCGCTGCCGTTTGACCTTTAGGGCCCTCTTTTTGCCACTGCGCTAAAACGCATCATTATCACACTGCCCCTCCCTGGCCTTCGGCGTGGAGGCAGCGGAGGGCCGCAGATGGCTGCGCTCCAGCTTGGGCCCTGGCTCTCCTTGGGCCAAATGGGCGAAAAGGGAACGGTCGCCCATGAAGAAGTAGGTTTCGGGGCTTCGTGGGCGGTAGCTATATGTAGTTGCTTGGCTCGGCTCGGACCGCTGGTGTCTTTCAGGGGGCGGCCCGCGGGGTCCCGGGGGCGGCCCTTGGCTGCGTTCGGTTGCCCGTTGGTCTTCGTCCCCGCGGGGTGTTGGCCTTAGCCGCGGCCTTTCCTTCCTGGGAGGGCCGTTCCGGGCGTGCACCTGGTCGGTGGGGCCCTCGGGCTCCTCGTCGCCATTCCCGCCCGTCGGGGAGAGGAGCTTTCCTTTCGACGAGGGCAGGCTGTGGGTTGCGGTTGGCCAGGGCAACCAGGCCCAGGGCGTGCTCGACGCACTCAGCCTCGTGGCGCCGAGTACGGGCACTCGGAGGTCTGAGCCGCGAGGCCGTGGCCGAGCAGCTGCCGCCGCGGCGGCAAAGCGTGCACCCATCCGCCCCGGGTTCCGTTCAATTTGATTTCATCGATTGGTCGTGACCTCGCAAGCTCTCTCTTCCTGTGGTGCCGTCGCAAGCTCCCTCGTCTTGATCGGGAGAGTCGATCGATCGATCCTCTCGACCGATTGATTGGGATTTCGAAATTTAGGCCTACCATATGGCGTTGGAACAAATGGGGTCGGAGCCAGGCGCCGCATTGCCGATGCATCGGCGATGCGGCGCGCTGTGGCGCCCGATTTTCTCCACGCCGACGATGCCGATGCATCGCCGACGTCGCCGGCGCATCGCCGATGCATCGGCGGTGCATCGTCGCTGTGTCGGCGATGCAGCGTGGTCCTCCGATCCCAGTTGCCCCGACCCCATCTATGAAACTTCTGCGTATCGGGAGCTCCCCCTTCCTATGGTGGTCCCTTCTGCCTCATCCGAGGAGCGTGACCTGTTCGGCGGGGCGTACGACAAGGCAAGTGTGGGCGGCCGGGCTTGGGGACGATCGTGCCACCCAGCAGGGGCGCCGAGGTAGGTAATCGTGCAGCTTCGCGTTTGGAAGTCTGCGGTCTGGAGGGGGCTTGATGGTGGGTCTGATGATGAACATGCTGCTGACGACGATGCCGACGATGATGGGGATGACGATGAGGACGAAAATGGAGAGGATGATTTTGGGGAGGATGATGATGATGCTGGCGAATATGTGGGGGAGGATGATGAAGAGGATGGTGAGGCGGAGGCGGAAGCGGTGGAGGACGAGGAGGAGGTCGACGATGATGATGATGCTGGTGCTGCTGATGCTGATGCTGGTGATGATGACAATGCTTATGATGATGTCGTTGCTGTTGATATTGATGTTGTTGTTGTCGGTGGTACTCATAATGGTAGTGGTATTGGTGATGACAATGCTGCTGCTGTTGATGATGGTGATGATGGTGGTGATGATGCTGAGGATGCTGATAAGGATGATGGTGTGTGTGATGACGATGTTGATGATGGTGATGACGGTAATGGTTATCTTGTTGATGATGATGGTAATGTTGTTCATGATGATGTTGGTAATGTCGTTGTTGATGATCATGCTGATGTTAGTAATGATGATGTAGGTAATGCTTATGATGATGACGATGATGATGAAAGTGATGGTGATGGTGATGGTGGCGGTGATGATGGTGGTGATGGTGATGGCATTGTTGCTGATGATGATGATGATGATGTTGATGCTGATAAAGCTGATGCTGATGCTAATGCTGCTGATGATGATACTCATGATCAAGATGTTGATTATGCTAATGACGTTGCTGATCATGATGATGATGATGATGATGATGATGATGATGATGATGATGATGGTGATTGTGATGGTGAAGATGATGCTGATGATGCTCATGATGGTGATGCTAATCAGGACGCTAGTGATGCTGATGATGGCGATGATTATGATGATGCTGCTGATGATGATGATGCCGATGCTGATGATGATGATTCTGATGCTGATGCTCATGCTGCTGATGCTGATGATGCTGCTGATGATGATGCTGATGATGATGACGATGATGATGATGACGATCATACTGATGATGCTGATGATGACGATGATGAGATGATGATGATGATGATGATGATGATGATGATGGTGATGGTGGTGATGATGATGATGATGATGATGATGACGGTGATGGTGATCATGATGATGATGATGGTGATGTTGATGGTAATGATGATAATGGTGGTGGTGACGATGATGATGATGATGATGATGATGATGCTGATGATGGTGGTAGTGGTGGGGGTGGTGGTGGTGATGATGATGATGATGACGATGATGATGATGATGATGATGATGATGATGATGATGATGTTGCTGATGCTGATGATGACGATTCTGATGATGGTGGTGATGGTGGTGGTGATGATGATGATGGTGATGATGATGATGATGATGATGAGGATGCTGATGATGGTAATGCAATGATGATGATGATGATGATGATGATGATGATGATGATGATGATGGTGGTGGTCGTGGTGATGACGATGGTAATGATGATGATGGTGATGGTGATGATGATGATGCTGATGATGCTGATGCTGATGCTGCTGATGATGATGATGATGATGATGATGATGAAGATGAAGATGATGCTGCTGATGCTGATGCTGATGATAATGATGAATAATCAGATGAAGATGAAGATGAAGATGATGATGATGATGATGATGATGATGATGATGATGATGATGCTGATGATGATGATGATGCTGATGATGCTGCTGATGATGATGATGATGATGATGATGATGATGATGATGATGATGATGATGATGATGATGATGAGCGGGTGCTCACTTACACGGTTTCAGGAGCGGTTCGGCACTGACTTACTGAATCTAAATTCAGTGCACGCTCAGGTAACCGACGGGATCGCACAGGGCAAAGCGACGATAGGCGGCCCCAGGACGCCAGATCGGACATGCTGCCCAGCGATGACACTGCTAGCAGGAGGCATGGCGGCAGACCGCCACATCCGCACAGGCTCTCGGGCCAGGCGGCGGACGAAACCCAGACCCCAGAGGCAGAAACGTCTGACGGCCACTGCGGGTCGCCAGCCAAGTTTTTCAAGCCGCGCCCAACCGTCATTACGGCTGTTTGCAGTCTGCGTCCGGAACGGTTTTCATGGGAACGGCGTCGGCAAGCACGTCTGGGTGTGCAGCATCTCACTGGCGGCGTTGGTGCCGGGGTGCCGAGGACTATGATCTTGCGCTGCCGTATGGCACTAGACGTCGACGGCGGCCTGCGGCGTGCGCGTGGCCGGCGGCGCCGCGCCATCGCGGCCGCGGCCGCGGCGGCTGCGGTGCTGCGGGCACGGTTGTCGTGGCTTCGGCCGTTTGCGATGCCACCGCCAGCGTTTGCACCGCAAGCGGCCTCCGAGTCCGGCCAGCGCGTGCCACAAGTCGATCAGGAGGACCGCGCGCCACGGCGGTGGGCGCCACGAGCGGCGCCGCGGGAGGCTCCACGGCCATGGCGGCGGTCGGCTCCACGAGGGTGTCATGGCGCGGCGGCTGCCAGCCACGAGCGCCGCAAAGCCCGCGCGGCCCGGCACCGCCGTCCTCGCGACCATGTCGAAGAGCAGCATCGCCCAGCCAGCCCAGCCGAGGCCGTGCGTGGTGGAGATGTGGTGCCCTCGCTCTCCGTGCCCGGCCTGCTCGGCGGCCCTCGGTCTGCACAGAGCCCAGCGCGCCGCGCTCGGCGAGCGGCCTCTCGTGTGCGTCGCCGTCGACCTGCTCGGCACCCGGCTTGACCTCCTTCTCGGTGCCCTCCTGCCCTCGATCTGCTGGGCGAACGGCCCCACGTGTCCGTCGCCGTCGACCTCCTCGGTACCTTCGTCGGCGCCCTCGACCTGCGCGGCGAACGTCTCCTCGAATGCGTCACCGTCGATCACGAGCCGCTTGGTTGCGCTACGGAGCGGCGCGTGGGAGCCTTGCTCGCGCCGCGCGCTGCCGCGACTGCAGCGGGGCAGCCTGGGCCCCGAGGGCGGCGGCCGTGTCTTGCGCCTCCCGCGTTGCCGTCAGCTCCGCCGCCAGCGCGTCGCAGCGTTGTCTCCAGAGCCGCGCCTCTCGCACGGCCGCCTGGAGCAGCGCCTCGGACGCCCAGCGACCCCAGCGGGGCGCCTTCCTTGGCGCGCTCGGCAGCATGCGGAGCGCTAGTCCCAGCGCAATGTGAGGGCCAGCGTGCCGCAAAATCTCGAGCCGAAACGGCTACGTGCGGATGCTGTTGCCGCTGCTGCTGCTGATGCTGATGATGGTGATGATGATGCTGATGATGCTGATGATGAGGATGATGATGTTGATAATGATGATGATGGTGATGATGATGATGATGCTGATGATGATGATGATGATGATGATGGTGGTGGTGGTGGTGATGATGATAATGATGCTGCTGATGATGATGATGATGACGCGACATCGACGACGACGATGTTGATGTTGATGTTGATGGTGATGATGCTGTCGATGCTGCTGTTGATAAGGGTGATGATGATGATGATGCCGACGATGATGATGCTGGTGATGATGGTGGTGATTGTGAGGGTGAAGGTGATGCTGCTGATGATGATGATGATGATGATGATGATGAGGATGGCGATGATGACATGATGATGGTGGTGGTGGTGGTGACTATGCTGCTGATGCTGATGATGATAATGATGATCATGACGATGATGCCGCTGATGATGATGATGATGATGCTGATGCTGATAATGATGATGATGATGATGCTGATGATGATGATAATAATCATGATGCTGGTGATGACTTGATTATGATGACGATCATGCTGATTGTGTTGTTGTTGATGATGATGATGCTGATGATGATGATGCTGATGCTGCTGCTGATGCTGGTGATGATGGTAAGGATGTTGATGCCGATGCTGATGATGGTGCTGACGCTGATGATAATGATGCCGATGCTGATGATGATGATGACGCTGATGATGATGTTGATGCTGATGCTGATGATGCTGTGGGTCATGATGACGACGCTGATAATGATATTGATGTTGATATGGATGATGATGATGCTGATGCTGATGCTGATGATGCTGATGATGATGATTCAGATGATGATGATGATGAGGATGATGATGAGGATGATGTTGATGATGATTGTTGTTGCTTTTGCTGCAGTGGCGCCATTCGTCCGTTGGAGGAAATGAGTGCGTACGTCTCGGTGCGTGTGTGCGTGTGGTGTTTATCGCAGCTCTTACTACGCTCCACTTGCTGGCCGCGCGGCCTGCCGCTAATGATCGTGATGTTGGTGATGGTGATGTTGATATTGATGACGATTATGCTCATTGTGTTGTTGATGATGATGACGATGCTGATGATGATGATACTGATGATGATGATGCTGATGCTGCTGCTGATGAACGTGATGATGATGATAGTGATGATGATGCTTACGATGATGATGTTGAGATGATGATGGTGATGGTGAGATGATGATGGTGATGATGATGATGATGATGATGACGCTGATGATGCTGATGCTGATGCTGGTGATGCTGCGGATGATGATGACGATGATGCTGATGATGATGATGACTATGCTGCTGATGATGATGATGATGATGATGATGATGATGATGATGATGACGATCACGATGACGATGATGCTGATGATGATGATGATGATGATGAAGATGCTGATGATGATGATGATGATGATGATGATGATGATGATGATGATGATGATGATGATGATGATGAGGATTTTGAGAATGATTGTTGTCGTTGTTGCTTTCGCTGCAGTGGCGCCGTTCGTACGTTGAAGGAAAAGAGTGCGCATGTCTCGGTGCGTGTGTGCGTGTGGTGTTTATCGCAGCTCTTACTACGCTTCACTCGCGGGCCGCGCGGCCTGCCCCTGTCGTCCCACTGCCGTCTCTTCTGTCCCTCGTTGATTCTCTGGCCGCCTTGCCGTCCGTCCCCACAATCGTCGTCCTGACCCTCGCCAACACTGCTTGTAGCTGCCCCCGCTTGTCCCCTCCCTCGGCTACCCCCTCCAGAGTCGCCTGGACAGCGCGACTCCCCGTTGGTTTCCCCGCCTGGTGCGATCTACGCTTCCAGAAGCCGTGCAAGCCTGGCGTTGCAATCTTTTCACACCAGGCGGTTTTGCCCTGTTTCGGGCTCCTCGATCATCACATATCGACCCGGCTCGAAATCGCAGCAGAAAGATGGGGTCTAGGGCTTCTGTCGTGATTTTTCGCGATGTTAGGTTTTTTTTGTTCTTTCTTTTTTCTTTCCGTAACGTCGGATCTCAGGGAACCAACGCCCACGCCGCCACGTGCAGCCGGACCCCGACCCGGCCGGGACAGTGGCGCTTTGGACCGCGGGGGGAGGCCTCTGGCTTCGAGCGGCCGAAGTACGGGGTCCTGAACGTGATGAACGATTACCGAGGCGTGGTCAAGTGCAAGCAGTACGGGGACTCGTACGTCATACCCCGAGGGCTCCAGAGGGGGACGCTGGAGTGGGCCCCAGCCCCCTTCTCCAGCCTCGGAAGGGGGTATCGTCCATTGGACGATTCCCCCTTCTAACCAGATTCTCTTCGAAGCCCAGATTCTTCGAACCCCAGGGCTGCTCCTCGAAGCCCAGATTCTTCGAAGCCCAGATTCTCCCCCCTTCGAATCTGGGCTTCGAGGTTGGCGAGCCCCCATGGGGGCCTGTGAAGTACGGCGAGGGAAGCGGGTTGGCGTGCGCTGCGTCGTTGTGGAGCTGTTCGGGCCTGCCAGCCTTCAGAGGTCCTGGGCATCGCTCGGATGCGTGCAGTTTTTCTCGGCGAGGAGCACCGGGGAGCATCTGGGCCCATCTTGCGAACAAGACGCGCACGAATCTGAAAGCTGCACGGGGAATGGGCGTCCGAGCGATGGCAAGAGGTCGTGGGCTTTTGAGTTCCCGAGGTCTTCGATCGTGCCCCCTTTTTTGGACGTGCAATCGTCCAGAGTTCGTGCAGGATGCCGCCGAGATACGGCCGGCGGACCGCCGGATGCCGCCGAAGACCGCCGAAGGCCGCCGAGGGCCGATGGGTAACAAGGGGCCCACGGCCAGACACGTAACTAGCGTTCCCAGATTTTTTCGCGTGCAATATAGCTCGGAGCCAAACCTCCGGGTCGGGTTCGGCGGTCGCCGCGGCGATGGCGGCGGCCACAAATCGGGCAAGGCTTTTGTCAAGGAGTGGCATGCCCCGTCCTGGCCCCCCCTTCTGTCATGCCTTGCAGACGTGTCTCATCATGACTGGTCTAGCGACAGAGGGTTGTCATTTTCTGTCCAACATGTCGGCGGCGAGTCTGGGGGGGAAGTGAGAAGGGGCGGGACTTCTCAGAAGACCGGAGGCCTTCTGAGAAGCCCCGCCGCCTTCTGAGAGGGCCTTCTCATGATCACTTCCCCTCTCGCTCGCCGCCGAACATGGGCGCTCATTTTTTGAGTTATGGGTCGGTTATTCAAGCAGTGTCGAAGTGTCCAGGCTTGCCTATCGGCACACCGAAGAATATCCTACAAACCTTGTGCGATTTGCGCGAGATGTTCTTAGAACATGTCGGGCTGATACTGTCTTGTTTTAACACATCTGGTTTATGTTCTAAGAACATTGCTTTTGCTCTTAGAGAGCTTCTCCTGGTTTGAAAAACTTTGTGGTAGGCCTACAGGAATACTGGCACGGTCGGTCCCTGCTCAAATTTCTCCCCCTCGCTCGCCGCCGAACATGGGCACCGCAACCAGGTCCGTTCGTACCCAAGCCTCGTCTTAGGCAGGCCGAGGGCTCTGGGGCCTCGGCCTCCGCCTTCGCGCCGCTCTCGGGGCCTCGGGCGTACGGAGGGCCGCGCGGTTGCGGCGCTCCGGGCATGGGTGCCTTCTGCCAATTCGCCCGGTCTGCACGAGCGACGAGCATACACGTCGGTCGTTGAAAGTAAGTAGGCCTTTTTGCATCCCCAGATCCCAATCTTCTTTAGCCGCCTTCCTACTTGAAGAGTCGAGTAGTTTCCCCTCTTCCCTCCTCTTCAGGGGGCGGGCGGAAGCCCAATCAATTTCCAACGCCTTCCTTCTTCATGCATGTTTCTGCCCACTTCTTCTGACCGACGGGTACCTATGTTCAGATGCGAGTGAGGGAGGGGGGAATGAGAAGGATAAGACCTTCTCAGAAGGCGGCCGTACTTCTCAGAAGGCTTTCGGCCTTCGGAGAGGTTTCAGTGTCTTCGGGGAAGGCCTCGAAAATTTCTCAGAAGGCCGAGTGACTTCCGAGCCTTCTGAGAAGGCCCGCCCCTTGTCACCTCCCCCCTTTGCTCGCCGCTCATATCTACGCCCATCAGAGATTCTGGGCTTGTGAGTTCCTGAGGTCTTCGATCGTGCTCGTTGAACGTATAATCGTCCACCGAAAGACCTCTGACAGACCGCTGACTGCCGCCGAAGACCGCCGAAGACCGCTGAAGGCCCATGATCGGACACGCAGCGTTCCCAAAGCTGCTTGTATCCAGGCCCTGTCGTAAGTAGGCCGATGGGGTTCTGGCGATCCTTCGCCCCACTCTGGAGCCCTCCAGCATACTGAAGGATGCGCGGCTGCGGTGCTCAGGGGATGAAGCTCTTGCCACGCTGGCAGGTCTGCTTCTACGAGCGACGAAGATATTATTTTCTCATACTTTGGCGCGTACGTGTCGTTACCCAGGCCCCCCCCCTTGGTAACGGTAACGATCGTACGTTTGGGCGGGGGGGCCTGGACCCCCCACATATTGGTGCTCGCGCGCGTTCTATGGCGATCGCAGCGCACTCACGCCCCGACGTGCCCCACCCCGCCCAAGCGCTACCATTACCTGGCCCCCCCCAAGGTAACGACGGTTACCGCAAATAATAGGAAACAGTGTCGAACATGTCCATGCCCATACCTCAGTAGGCCCTGGAAATGACAGGGCAGTTTTTGTCACTGGTTCCGTTTTGCTGTTCGTTGGTTGGTTCTGGCGCCGTCTTTCCCGGTTCCATCGCCGTTTTTTTGTTTTGTTTTCCTCTTCTTCCTGGGCGTCGACCTGGTCAAGTGGCACGTCTCCCCTCTGCAGCACTTGAGGCTGGTGTTCGCGATGCGCCGTCGACGGCAACACCTTCTCCTCCACCCCCCGGATCTTCGCCCCCGGTACCAGTCCGCGGCGCACCTGCTCCTGCACATCCACTTCGGCACCACCTGCACCCCGGGCTTCGCCCACTCCGGCCGCCTGAGGCCCCGCCTTCCTGTGCCCTGTCTCCCTAATTAAAGCTGTGCGTAGCCCGCCTAGCTTTTCGGAACAAGGTTCGCTCTCGCCCCGCATATCAAAACACAAAATGTGTTTTTTGTTTTTTTGGTTCCAGTGTTGGTTCCAATCCTGGAGCCGTGTCTTCATAGTTTCCAGGATCAGTTTTGCCCAATGTTTCAGATGCAGTTTTTTGAAGTCGACAAGAAACGGCGCTGCCGTTACCCGTTGAGGTCCAGGCCCTGCAGGTCAGGATGCCGAGGCGCAGCTTTCCTGCATACGCGATCCGATGGATACGTTCGGAGCGGGGCATCTGCCGAAAGCCGCCCTGTGTCGATGGGCTTGCGGCCGAGGAGTCTAGACCCGAGGCCGCAGGTGTGGATGTGCCGTCAGCGCACGAAGTGATGCTCACAGTCGTGCGGCAGCGGGCCCAAGCATCCGACGGTCTGTGTTAGGCCCCGGTGGTCTCGACTGCTGCCCTGGGGGCAGTTTTCATCCAGGACCCATTTTCTGGTGACTCTGGGGCCCGAAGCCAGTTTCTATAGGCTCAAATTAGGTAAAAACGATGGTCCTTGTGCGCCCACGGTCTCAGATGCGGATGTCGCGGTTGTGCTTCGCCCCCCCGGCAGCTTCTTCTGAACCACCGCCTGCTTGTCGGGCCTGCGGAGCGGGCGGAGGCAGGCCTATCATTGGCCAGATCTCTTGAGTCTCTGGAGCCAGGGTTTTCTTGTTCGAGGTCGCGGGCGCCGGGTTCGTCCTGGCAAAGCCCAGCTTGCTGATTTGAGACACTTGCGAGGTGTTGGGGCCGTCGCCTCCCCACCCCCGTCTCGTCCGCTCCGCACCCGAGAGCGTCGCGGTCGGTGCCGTTCCCGGCCGCTCCTGCACTCTTCTGGCCGTGCGTCCGCACCCCTTTGCATGTTGTCGTCTTCCTCGTGCATCGGCTCCCGCCCGCTCTTTCTTTGCATGCGAGCTGGCCAGGAAGTAAAACGTGTGTGTGTGTGTGTGTGCACCTGGGAGGTGCTGCAAGGGTTCTGCCCGTTTGCTCGTCGCGGTGGCAGTCGGATGGTGGTGGTCTGAGTTGCTTCGCCTGGGCACGGCTTCTGTTCGTGCTTGCGATGCGGGCTCCCCCCGACGGGGGGGGAGGATCGCTCGTTGCGTTGAGCTCGCGCCCGCTATCATCATGGCAGCTCGGGCCACCAAGCCTAGGCGCCAGGAATTTGGCTGCGCGCAGCTGGTTCGCCAGCCACTGGTCACCGCCCCCTCTGCCACTTTGAGAAAGCAGATGTTTGCAAGCGTGGCCCCCGCATCGTGCTTCGCTGCACTCTGGATGCGTAGTTCGTGTGGTGCACTCTGCGTGGTGCAGCCTCACGATGTGCAGTGCATACGTACACGTGTCTTTCATATAATACCCGAGACCCGGCCCCTGGTGGGCCCAGCGGTAAAGACCACCAGGGGCACCCAAAATACTCGTAAGGGCCCCCTCCCCTCCCAGAGTCCGCCCTGGGCGTCCTCGGAGCCTCCGTGGGAGCCTTCCCCGAAGTCTGGGGACCCACGGTGGAAGCTCTGGACGTCACGGATGGCTTCCAGATTGCTCCAGGACGGCCCGAGATGGCCTCAAGACGGCCCACGAGGTCCTCAAGACGCCCCAAGACAGCTCCAAGACAACCCCCTGTAGGGCCCTGAGCGGCAGACATCGACCCATTCCTTCAGGAAAACGTGCATGGTCGGCATATTTGTTTGTCCAACCAGCGTCCCAGGCGGCTCCGAGAGGCCCCCAAGAGCGCCCCAAAGCCGCCGAAGAGGCCCCCACCCAGGGTGGCCCCAGGACGGCCCAAGAGGCGCCACAGACGGCCTCCAAGAGGCCCCAAAGCGCCTCCCGAAGCGCGCCCCGTGCTGCGCGAAGCGCGAGCGGTGGTTGTATTATATTTTTTGAAGCAGTGCTTGCACTTAGGGACTCTTATTTCTCCTCTCAGAAACTCGGCCTGTCTGCCAGTCTGGCGGCTATTTCGCCGCTGTCGCCGCCTCGTCGCCGCTTCGTCGCCGCCAGTCGTCTTGGCCTGTCTGCCAGTCTGGCGGCTATGTTGCCGGCGTCGCCGGCCCGTCGCCGCCTCGTGGCCGCTGGTCGTTTGGGCCTGTCTGCCGGTTTAGCTATGTTGCAAAATATAGGTTGCACACCTTGTACTGCACTATATCTAGGTAGCACCACATATATTCTCCTTTCTAAATTGATAATAGACTCTCCCCCCCCCCGGCGTTCGCCACCCCCCTTTCGGGTATGTAAATCATAGATGATTATGACCTCATGTCCATCCTCAATATGAATTTACATTATCCCCAGGGACCCGGTACCGGTCCCCCTGAGGTTCCTTTGTAAAAGACGATACGCGGGGGCATCTTTTGTTCTAACATAGCACTTTTTTTTACGAATCCCTTGCAACAAATGGGACGAAGTGCACACGCGCGCGTCGTCGCGCGCGTATGCCGAAATCCTTCAAAAACCTTCGGTGTCGGAAGGATTTCAACATCGTGTGTCGAAAAAACCTACAGACACACAAGGTTTCGCAACACGGGGTTTCAACAAAAGCGTGCGCAAGCGCTCTTGCGTCGTCGTCGTCGTCGTCGTCGTCGTCGTCGTCGTCGCCGTCCTCCCTCCTCCCGCGTCGTCGTCGTCGTCGTCGCCTACGTCGTCCTCTGTCTTTCCTCGTGTTCGTCGTCGCCGTCCTCTTTGGCGTCGTGGTCGTTTCCGTCGTCGTTGTCGCCGTGGTCGTCCTTCCTCCTCCTCCCTCGTCGTCGTCGTCGTCCGTCGTCGGCGTCTCGTCGTCGTCCCTCCTATTTCGTCGCCGTCGTCGTCGTCGTCGTCGTCGTCGTCGTCGTCGTCGTCTTCCCCTCCTCCCTCGTCGTTGTCGTCGTCGGCGTCGCCGTCCTCCTCCTCCCTCGTCGTTCGCGTCGTCGCCGTCCTCCCTCCTCCCTCGTCGTTGTCGTCGTTGTCGCCGTCGTCGTCCTCCCTCCTCGCTCGTCGTCGTCGTCTTCGTTGGCGACGTCGTCGTTGTCGTCGGCGTCGGCGTCGTCGTCGTCTTCGTCGTGGTCGACTTCGGCGTCGTCGTCGTCGCCGCCGTCGTCTGCGTCGTCGTCGTCGTCGTCGTCGTCGTCGACGTCGTCGTCGTTGGCCTCGTCGACGTCGTCGTCGGCGTCGTCATCGTCGTCGCCGTTGTCGTCGTCGTCGTCGGCGTCGTCGTCGACGTCGTCGTCGTCGTTGTCGTCGTCGTCGTCGTCGTCGCCGTCGTCGTCGGCGTCGTCGTCGACGTCGTCGTCGTCGGTGTTGTCGTCGTCGTCGTCGGCGTCGGTGTCTTTGTCGTCGTCGTCGAAGTCGTCGGAGACGTCGTCGGTGTCGTCGTAGTCGTCGTCTGCGCCGTCGTCGTCGTCGGCGTCGGTGTCGTTGCCAAGGGCCATTTGGAACCTACCATCACAGTCTCAAGAGGTTTTGCAAACCAAGTTGCGGGTGGGTGGGTGGGATGTTTGCCAGAGCATGGGACGTGTCACGTCATGGGTAAAAATGAATTGCACAACATAGATAGCACCACACATATGTGTATATATATATATATATATATATGTATTGCACCACGTACCTCGGACAACCTATATTGCACCACGTAGAGATTCCACCACACATCGATGGGCCCCGCCTAGATTGCACAACACATATTACTCAATATATATTGCCCCACCTGGATTGCACCACATACATTGCCTTGCATCTGTTACACCACAGCGATTGCGCAGTCTACATATACATATACATACGTCAATATGTTGCACCACAGCTCGATTGCTCAACATATCTTGCATAACATCGATTGTCCCACATATATTCTCCTTTCGGATAACAGAATAGACTCTACCCCCCCCCCCCGCGGCGTTATCGCCCCCCCCCGCGTCCTTTGTAAATCACATATGATTCCGACCACATGTCCATCCTAACTATGGGATCACAATGTCCCAGGCCAGCCGGGTTCCCCCCCTGAGGTTCCCCGGTAAAAAAAACACTATGCGGTGACATCTTTTGTTCTAACATAACACTTTTTCGCGAATCCCTTGCAACACAAATGGACGAAGTGCACACGCGCGCGTCGTCGCGCGCGCATGCCGAATCCTTCAAAAACCTTCGGTGTCCGGAGGATTTCGCAATCGAGTTTCCAAAAAACATACAAACACACAGGGTTTCGCAACACTGATTTGCTAAAAAAGCTTACGCGCGAGCTCTTGCGAAATCTTAAGGGAACCATCGTTTTTTTTTTTTTTTTTGTCAATATTTGCACAACATGCTACCAAACGGGCTTCGCGCGCGCGCATGTCGAAATCTGTCGAACGCCCTTGCGCGTGTGCCGTCGCGAAAATCCTCTGCAAAACATGTGGCGAAGTGCAGACGCGCGCATCGTCGCGCGCGTATGCCGAAATCCTTCAAAACCCATCGGTTTCGGAAGGATTTCAAAACCGTGCGTCCAAAAACCAACAAACACACAAGGTTTCGCAACACGGATTTTCAACAAAAGCTTGCGCGCGCGCTCCTGCGTCGTCGTCGTCGTCTTCGTCGTCGCCGTCCTCCCTCCTCCCGCGTCGTCGTCGTCGTCGTCGTCGCCTACGTCGTCCTCTGTTTTTCCTCGTGTTCGTCGTCGTCGTCCTCTTTGGCGTCGTGGTCGTTTCCGTCGTCGTTGTCGCCGTGGTCGTCCTTGCTCCTCCTCCCTCGTCGTCGTCGTCGTCCGTCGTCGGCGTCTCGTCGTCGTCCCTCCTATTTCGTCGCCGTCGTCGTCGTCGTCGTCGTCGTCGTTGGCGTCGTCGTCGTCTTCCCTCCTCCCACGTCGTTGTCGTCGTCGGCGTCGCCCTCCTTCCTCCTTCTTCGTCGTTCGCGTCGTCGCCGTCCTCCCTCCTTTGTCGTCGTTGTCGTCGTTGTCGTCGTTGTCGCCGTCGTCGTCCTCCCTCCTCCCTCGTCGTCGTCTTCGTTGGCGACGTCGTCGTCGCCTTCGTCGTCGTCGTCGTCGTCGTCGGCGTCGGCGTCGTCGTCTTCGTCGTCGTCGACGTCGGCGTCGTCGTCGTCGTCGTCGAAGTCGTCGGAGACGTCGTCGGTGTCAGTCGTCGTCGTCGGCGTCGTCGTTGTCGACGTCGCTGTCGTCGTCGGCGTCGGTGTCGTTGCCAAGTGCCATTGGTACATACCGTCACGGTCTTAAGAGGTTTTGCAAACCAAGTTGCGGGTGGGTGGGTGGGGTGTTTGCAAAAGCATGTGATGTGTCAAATTATTGGTAAAAACCAGTTGCACCACATATACTGCACCACATGTGTTGCACAACATGGTTGGCACAAGACATGATTCACCACGTAGATTGTACATCATCTATGGGACCACATCGACTGCACAACATACATTGCACAACGTAGGATGCACCACACAGATTACACCGCATGCATTGCACAACATAGATTGCAGCACACAGATGCCACCACCTCCACCACCTCTATGTTTGGGGTCCACGCTGGCTAACACACACGGGAGCCTGGGGGCCCCTGGGGAGGATGGTGTGCTGACCCGGGACCCCCTCCAGGACCCCCCCGGGACCCGCCCCGGGACCCCTGGGGCCCCCCCCCGGGGCCCCCCCCCCGTATTTCCTCCTGGGGGGAAGGGATCGAAATGACGGGGCTTCCCTTCGACTACGACGCTGCTCAATTTCGCTTCAGTTTCGCGTTGGCTGGCTCGCTTGAGGAAGAGGTTCCAGTGAGGGGGGGAGCGGCGATGGGCCACGACACGACGACGACGACGACGACGGCTACGACGACGACGACGACGACGACGACGACGACGACTAGAAACACACTGTTTTGGATCCGCTGGCTGACACAATTTTTCAATATATATATGTATATATATATATATATATATCTATATATACACACGCATGTAGCACGCCACGTGGTGCAATATTTGTGGTGCAATTTATTTGGTGCGACCCATGTGTTGCAAGCTGTGTGGTCCGATTTAGATGTGCTGCAAGTTCTGTGGTGCAAGCTATGTTGTACCACCTTGTGCAACTTCCGTATCTAAGTTCATATTGTGCAGTCTCTGTCGTGCAAGCTATGTGCTTCAAACCAGGTGGTGCAAGCTGTTGGTGCAGCCTAGGTGGTGCAAGCTGTGTGGTCCAATCCGTGTGCGGTAAACTCTGGTGCGAGCTGTGTGGTGCAAGCTGTGTGGTACAAGCTATGCAGTGCTGTCTGCAGCGGACCCGTGGGATCCAACGGGCGGCCACCGGCCGAAATCTTGGCGGACCCAGCCAGCGCGCGGGGCGTCCGTGAGGCGCCCACGGGGCCCACGGGCGACCACTTTGGGAAGCGGACTCAGCCCGGCACGGCTTTGCCCACGGGCGGCCACCGGGCGAAACCGCGGCGGATCCAGCCCGTGCACGGGGCGCCCACGCGGCGCCCACCGGGCCGGCAGGCGAAGCCTCGGCGGACCCATCCAATGACGTAAGAGCAAGACTTCGGAAGCCCTCCGTACAGCCGTACAGGCAGTGCCTGTGTTTGTGTGTGTGTGTGTGTGAAGTTGCGATGAAAGCATGGTTTTTTTCGGATGTTCGCTCGGATCTCTCGGGTCGGCACAACGTTGATGTCTGGCTTCATTTCTTCTGCAACTGCCAATTTCCCCCCCTTTGTCGCCCTTCGATCTTCCTTCTGGTCGCCCTTTCTGCTTCTCCTCAGGTGCACCTTCTCGCCCGAGGACTCCGCGAACCTGAAGTCGGAAAGGCTGGCTGTGCTAGACTTCTACGCGCACGTGCTCAACGAGTACTCGGACGACGAGCTGAGGGAGACACTCAAGGTCGTCGGAGAAGGGGACGGGAGAAAGCTGGATGATGATGATGATGATGATGATGATGATGATGATGATGATGATGAGGATGATGACGATGATGATGATGACGATGATGATGATGACGATGATGATGACGATGATGATGATGACGACGATGACGATGGTGGTGGTGGTGGTGATGATGGTGGTGGTGGTGACGATGATGATGGTGGTGGTGGTGGTGGGGTGGTGGTGGAGGTGATGGTGGTGGTGGTGGTAGTGGTTATGATGACGATGGCGATGACGATAACGATGATGATGATGATGCTGCTGATGATGCTGATGATGATGCTGCTGATGATAATGATGATGATACTGATATGGTGATGATGATGGTGGTGGTGATGCTGATGATTATGAGGTTGAGGATGCTGCTGATGATGCTGATGCTGCTGATGATGATGAGGATGATGATGATGGTGATGGTGATGGTGATGGTGCTGGTGAACATGATGACGATTATTACGATGACGATGACGATGATGACGATGATGATGATGATGATGATGATGACGATGCCGATGATGACAATGATGGTGATGATGATGATGATGATGAGGATGATGATGATGATGATTATGATGATGATGAGGATGAGGATGAGGATGAGGACGAGGATGATGATGATGAAGATGATGATGATGATGATGATGATGATGATGATGAGGATGCTGATTCTGATGATGATGATGATGATGATGATGATGATGCTGATGATGATGCTGATGCTGATGATGCTGATGATGATGCTGATGATGATGATGATGATCATGATGATGCTGATGCTGACGATGATGATGATGCTGATGATGATGACGATGATGATGATGA